CCAACACAACGGAAACAAGCGGCAACACAACGGAAACAAGCTGCAACACAACGGAAACAAGCCGCAACACAACGGAAACAAGCCGCAACAGAACGGAAACAAGTCGCAACACAACGGAAACAAGTTGCAAAACAACGGAAACAAGTCGCAACACAACAGAAACAAGTCGCAAAACAACGGAAACAAATCGCAACACAACGGAAACAAGTCACAACACAATGGAAAAAAGTCGCAACACAACAGGAACAAGTTGCAACACAATGGAAAGAAGCTGCAATACAACGGAAACAAGCTGCAACACAATGGAAAGAAACCGCATCACAATGGAAACAAGCTGCAACACAACAAAATTAGTCGTATGCGTTGTGTTGTGGTGATTTTATTGTGTTGTGGAGATTTCATTGTGTTGTGCACTGCTTGGCCACTATATTTAAGGGATAGTTCACCCAAAAATGACAATCTGTCAAAAGTGTCCAAAAATGGTATTCTACTTAGAGCACTATAGCTATTATTTAACATCTTTTCCCTCTCTGTCATGTTTTCAGAGGTAACGTGTGTTGGTGCGGATGATTCTCCAGCAGATATGACAGACTGTGTGAAGTGGGTTGGACTGATGCCCATCCCGGTGAGGGAATGTCGTGTGCCATGCAGAGATGAATGTAGCTTCACGTCCTGGAGCAGATTCAGCCAGTGTCAAGGCTGTGGAAGTTGGCGCACTCGTTCCCGATCTCTGATAGGTAACATGTTCAACCATAAACTATTCTAATTATCAAAATGTTTTCCGAAAGCACACGCACCATCCAAGGTCCTCTTCCATTCAAACTCTCAGGTCGTAGTAAGAAGCACTGGAGATGCCAACAGGAGGAGTCGTTTCCTCTGCTGGAGAAAGAAGCCTGTCCTTGTTCTGAATTTCACACCCAGCCTCAGGGTCCCTGGTCTCCTTGTTTGCTCTCACCAGCAAAGAACATTGCTGGCCATCCTTTCATCCAAGGAGTTTCCCACCAAAGCCAAAAAGCAGTCCAAGGCTGGCGAGCTCAGAGGAAGAACAGCGAGTGTGGGCACGGAAAGCGTTTCAGAGCTCTTGCCTGTCTGGATCACATGGGACGATTGGTGGAGCCAACTCTCTGCAGCAGCCCTGGTGATGCTTTCTTTCAAAAACCTAAAATAAAAATGTGTGTGTGTAAATTATTTAGGCTAAATTACCTTTAAACTATTATATTTTTTAATCAATCTATACTCCATGCCCCATGATGACAAAGCAAAAAACTGATTTGTGATTACTTAGCAAAGGATCTGAAGACTTACACTGCTGTCAAACGATTTTTAATAAGTATTAATAACAATATTATAAATGTAACTATAAGTGTCCTTATAATGCGGGTATAGGTGTTGTTGTGTCTTTATAAATATATTTATAGAATAGTAATACTTACCTATAAATAATTATAAAGGGGGCTATAAATCATTATAAGCATGGGCTTCATAGAAAGTGTTACCGAAGTTTCTTATGGTCATCAAAGCTGTGTCTATTTGATCAAAAATACAGAAAAAAAAAATTAATTTTGTGAAATATTATTACAATTTAAAATGACAGTTTTCTGTTTTAATATATTTTAAAATATAAGTCATTCCTGTGAAGCAAAGCTGAATTTTCAGCATCATTACTCCAGTCTTCAGTGCCACATGATCCTTCAAAAATCATTCCAATATGCTGATTCATGATCAGTGTTGGAAACAGTTGTGCTGTTTCTATTTCTATTTCTTGGGACCTGTGGTTCTTTTTTTCAGGATTCTTTGATAAATAAAAAGTTAAAAGAACAGTGTTTATTCAAAATATAAATTTTGTGTTACAATATACACTACTATTCAAAAGTTTGGAGTCATTTATTTTACTGGAGTCAGTCATATTTAAAAAAAAATAAATTAATACTTTTATTCAGCAAGGATGAGTTAAATGAATAAAAAGTGATAGTAAAGACTTATATTGTTAGAAAAGATTTCTATTTTGAATAAGTGCTGTTCTTTTTAACTTTTTTTAACTTTTTTGTTTTGTAGTATTATCATTTATATTGTATATTCCATGTACTGTATCTCTAAGGAAGTGTATGCTGTTACAGGATTTGAAGAGGAATCATGTCATGTACCCTGTTCTACGGACTGTAAGCTGAGTGAGTGGTCGAATTGGTCTGCCTGCAGCGCCTCCTGTGGTGGGGGTGTAAAAGTTCGCTCTCAGTGGCTACGAGAAAAGCCTTTCAATGGAGGTCGACCCTGCCCAAAACTCAATTACAAAAATCAGGTGAGAATGATTGTTCACTTCAACTTCTACTTCATTGATCTTGTAAGAAATGAAGAAACTAATTAGTCCAAATAAGACGCGAGTTGTTCTGAGAACTTAAAATATCCAGAGACCTTTAGCTATTATTGATAATAGAGCTGTTGAGTCTATTTAAATTAGCCTCGAGGAAAATCGCCTGCTGTGAAATTATACATGCCCACACTTGTATGCTTAAATTATATGTGTTCATAAATTCATAAGTACTGTATCTTCATCTGTGTTTTGGAGTCACAGAGGACAAAGCAGTGTGTGTAAACCTACTGTATAATTTATTATTCATTTGGCCTGGCTTTGAGGGTCTTCCCCAGGCTTCCCAGTTTGAGCTGTTTCCACAATGTTTCTCAACCACATTCTGTTCTAGTAAGACAAGACTGGAGAAGATCAAGACCTCCAGGGACTGAACCTCTTATCCCCCTGCTTTTGGCTCTTTTTTCCTTTTATTTCACTCTCTTTATTTTATATTCCATCAGGACAGGTCAAGAAACATTAAAGTTTCATCTGTCTGAAGTGGAGTCAGCAAGCATTTCCTTCAGCTCAGTTTCTCTCATATAAATGAAACACTAAATAACTAAATCAACTCTATGGTTGGGGCGAACATGTTCTAATAGAAACTAATGGAAAATCTTTCCTTTCTTTTTCTGTCCCTTTCTCCTATTCTTTTCCCCCTTTCTTTCCCTTTTTCCTATTCCATCTTTGTTTACTTTCTTTTACATTACTTTTACTTTCCTCTTCCTCCTCCTCCGCTTTCACCTTTCTTTCTGCTTTCTTTCTTTTAATTTCCTTTCCCTTCTTTTCCTATTGCTTTCCTTTTTCCACTTCCTTTCCGTTTCTTTACTTCTTTAATTTCTTTCCCTTTCCTTTCCTTTTTTTTTTATTCCTTATTCATTTGCTTTGCTTTACTTTCCCTTCCCTTTTTCATTTCACCTTTCCTTCCCTTTTTCCTGTTCCATCTTTCTTTTATTTTTTTTCCCTATTACTTTAATTTTCTCTCTCCCTTTCAATTACTATTCTTTCTATACATTCCATTTCCTTTCACTTTTGTTTCCTTTCCATTTCCATATTTGTTTAAATCCCTTTCTTTCCTTGTTCATTTGCTTCGTTTGCTGTATTTCCCCTTCCCACTCCTTTCATTTCCCCGTTTATTTTCATTTCCTTTCTCTTTTCTTTCTTCTTTTCTTTTCCCCATTAATTTTCCTCTTCCTTTTATATCATTTTCTTCCTGCATCCATTCCATTTCCCCTTTTCTTTGCTTTTCCTTTCTTTTTCCCATTCCATTCCTTTAATTTTCTATTTCTGCTTCCTTTCCCTTTCCCCATTCTTTGAATTCCTTTTTATTTCCTTTTCATTTCCTCGCTTTTCATTCATTTGCTTTACTTTTCCTTTCCACGTCTTTCCAAACCTTTTGTGGTTTTGCTGCTGATCATGTTCTGCTGATTTGAATATATACAAAGGCTCAGGTGAGTACACTAGAGAATTATGTTTTCGTGTGTGAATGTGTTTATAATATTTTGTCTTTAAGTGTATATGTCTGCTTGTATAACCATTTGCATGCTGTATTTTTTCTGTATATTCTTGTATACACAGAGACACACAAAACACACACTTGTGTGCATGCTGCCATAAATAAAAACATAGCTATCTTGTCTGTGAGCAGGTGTCTGAGGTACTGCCCTGTTACTCTGACTGCAGTCAGTATGTGTGGGAAGTGGAGTCCTGGTCCATGTGTGTGCTAAACCCACCAAACAATCTCACGAACGCTGAACCGCCCCAGCCTGTGTGCGGAGAGGGCTTCCGGACCGGCAAAATCCGGTGAGCTTATCACAGAGAGCCTTCAAATAAGCAAATAATCTCAGAAGTCATCAAAAAAAGTTTAAAAGAGTGTCTTTTAAAATGTCCCCATTCTGCCAGAGAACAGCAGCACAATATATTGTGTTTTACCTGTGTGGTACAATGATAAAACTCCTGTGTGTGTTGAGCAAAATTGTCTCATAAGTCAGCGTTCAAAACCGAGGAGAGGTCACAACAGTGCCAAACAGATTCATGGGGTCATAACTCTGCTTCTTAAAGATAAGTAAGGTCGTAACTCTGCCCTTCAGACTAAAGTGAGGTCACGGAAACCATGGGTAATGTTATAACTAAACAACGTTTTCTGGTTGAATTTGCGCTCTCACCCTGATTTTCTTTGCTTAGGAGGTGCCTAGACGTCTGAATTTTAGGCTCGTAATGGTTCAGTTTAAACGATAAAAGATAACATTTGTTTGTCTCCGTCCTGAAGCTGCTTGAAAAGGGGAGGAGAAAACCAGGATGAGGTTGTGGATGACTCACTGTGTGACCAGGAGGAAAAGCCAATCACAGTCGAGACCTGTCTACTGCCGTGCCCCGCCCACTGTGTGACATCAGAGTGGAGCCAGTGGACCAAATGTACCGTGGTCAGTTTGACTGATGGATGAATGGATAATAAAATGTCCAAATGCCTTAGTAAATATACGATATTGCAGTGGATTTACCAAAATTATTCAGTAGTGCTAAAATACAGGATGGGTAAAAAAATCTAAGTTTTATTATACTTAGAAATCTTTTTAAAATCGTCCTCGGGAGAATAGAAAAAAACTCATCTTCCTCTTAGATGATAGACTGTTGAGAGTCCCTACAAGAAAGGACTTCATTAATGATTAAATAATCTTAATTCATATCTAAAAATGCCGAAATCTGCGTTGCTAATATTAAGGGAATGTTTCTTTACAGCTCAAATAACACACTTAACAGAAGTGCTTTACCAATATAAGTTATGAATTTCTGCTTTTAAATTTTCCAGAATGACTTGTCCCTTAGACTTGTGTTGTAAATGCATTACTGTAAACACAATGAATGAGAAGTCCCCATTAGGATATATACAGTGTATGTATAAATTAAAAGGGTATGAATAATTATGCAATGGGATCACTTAAGTTTTCTATTTTTAATAAATTTGCAAAGATGTTAAAAACCTGTTTTTTGCTTTACCATTATGGTGTATGGAGTGTAGATTGATATACTGTATACTGTAAAGAAAAAAAAAGTAATTTAAAGCAGTTTAACATAAGGCAGCAACATAACAAAATGTGAAAAAAAATGAAGGGCTATGAATACTTTCACAAGGCACTGTATTTAAGATTGTGTATTAGTGTATTTGCATGTGTGATTCATGCCTGCGTTCCTCCAGGATTGTAATGAGGGTGATGTGAGGTGGAGGAGTAGAAGTGTCTTGAGGTGGCCAGAAGGAGATCATACCTGCCCTGATCTAAACCAGACTCAAGCCTGTATCAATACGACCTGTCTCAAATACTCCTACGTTTACTCAGGTGCTGTTACAAGCATTTACACTTGCACAATTGAAAGACTGTAAAATGTAGTCTGTCCATGTTATGGAGTGAAGTGTGTAAATTATGTGTGTATATGTTGTGAAGACTGGAGCAGCTGTCAGCTCAGTGAAAATGCAGTATGCGGCCGTGGGATTAAGACCAGACTCCTGAACTGTGTCCGCAGCGACAGGAAGATGGTGGAACTGAGCATGTGCAAAGAGGTGACTGTTCTTTTCTCACTGGGATTCTTTCTCAACAAAAGCTCTAATGGGAATCCAGTTATTTTATTGTTTTCTTCTCTTTTTTTTTTTTTAGTTGGGTCCTTCGCGTGGAAAGCTGTCTGCCCCCTGTGAGGTGGGCTGCCCCGTTAATTGCCTGATACTAGTTATATTTTTTTAAATAAAACATAAGTGGTGCTTTTCTTAAAACTGGAAAATTTAATAATAATAATAATAATAATATGATGATGATGATGATGATGATAAATATCTTTTTTTTATTTTTTGATCAAAACCATAAGTGATCCTTTCCTTCTCAACACTGACAAACAAACAAACAATAATAAATAAATTAATAAATATATTTAAAATTAATAAATAAGTAATATTATTTCATAATCTTTTTTTTTCGTATTTTGATGAAAACGTGGTGCTTTCCTTTTTAATACCGGCAAATCAAATGAATAAAAATAATAATAATTACAAATTTAGTTATTTAATATTAATAAATAAATGTTTAATATTATTTTATAATATTTATATTATTATTTTTGAATAATATATCTTAATTTTTTGATGAAAACATAAGTGGTGCTTACCATTTCAACACTGGCCTGTAAAAATGAATCTAGTATTTTTGCAAAGATAGCACACAGCTGTTTACACCCTTGAGAGTTCAGTCATGCTTCCTTGAACTTGGCTGTTGTTAGGGGCTTAATTACAAGCTTTTATCGGTCTCATTTATCTCAATTCAAGGCTCTGCCAGTCCCACGAGTAAACTCTTCCCAGAGCGCTTATTAAATTTCAACATGCAAACAGTTCTCACACTGGACTTTAGCTTCTGATCCCATGCATTTTTGTCTTATTGTATGTACATTTTCCAGGTCAAATGACACGATCCAGGGCTGTTTTGCAGCCTGCCGGTGAAGGAGGTCGTCCCTGTCCATCTCAGCTCTCCCAGACTCGCCCCTGTCCCATCAGGCCGTGCTACAGCTGGATACTGGGAGACTTGAGAGCATGCAGGGTGGAGGTAGTATTGATGCAGTACACCTGATTGAGTTAAACTCAAACAACAGCCGCTGCTGCTGAGACGTTGTCCTTTACATGCACAAATTAACAGACTGAAGAAATTCACATAGCTGAAGGCTACTGCTTTCCATTAAACCGTCAAAGTGAATGCATGTCAGGGTTTCCCCTGAGCTCATAAAATCATCCACGCTGTGCCATTATGAACAGCCCTGATAGAGTTCTCTTTCTCAATCTCAGATCTTTATGTAGGTGCAGCATCACATTAAAGTCAGTAATGGCAAAACCCTATTCACAAATGTTTTTGTCCCCTACTGATTAATTTCACAACTAAAAGCATACAGTATTGGGGAATTAAGAAACTAAAACATTTAGATAAATAAAAACATGCATTAAATTGATCAAAAGTGACAGAAAAGATTTCTATTTCAAAGAAATGTACTTTTGAACTTTCTATTCTATTTCTGACAAAAATGTATTATGGTTTCCACAAAAATATTAAACAGCACAACCATTTTCAGCATTGATAATAATAAGAAATGTTTCTTGAACAGCAAATCAGCATGATTTCTGAAAGATCGTGTTACACTGAAGACTGGAGAAATTGCTGCTGACAATTCAGCTTTGCATCATAGGAATTAATTACATTTTAAAATATATTCAAATAGAAAATCTAATAATTTCAAATTGTAGTAATATTTTGTACCGTATGAGAAAATAAATGCAGCTTTAGTGAGCATAAGACTTCTTTCAAAGACATTAAAAAAAACGTACCAATCTCAAACTATTCAATGGTAGTGTATGTCAGCAAAAAAATTAAAAAGTAAAAATGTACCTAAAAAGTATACCATTATAAATGAAAACAGAGATTCACTTTTAGTTATAAAAAAAAATTACAAAGTACAAATGAAGTAAAAATATTTTTGGGGGGTGTAAAATATGCAACTGTAAAGTATATAATTAAAAAATAAAAAATGAGTCAGGGGAGCAACACACTTCTTTAGCCAATCAGAACAGCAAGCAATCAGAAACACTCTCTAGCTGTGAATCATTTAGCGGCGGCCTCCTCACAGTGTTGAGAGCCAATTTTATATTGGTTAAATCTGGAGTGGTTTCTTTCTACCCACCAGATTTACACTTTCTAAATAACAGAATCTAGAAAAATTTCCTGATATATTTCAGCAGCGCACAGAAAATGAATAATACATCTCAATAGCCCAAAATAACATCGCAATCTTGATCTTTCGATCTTTTAATCATGAAGGTGACAGATAGCTGAAATCCTCTTCCGCTCTGTCTGTAATCGCTCTCTCTCTCTCTCTGTTTGCAGGGGGCCGACTGTGGCGAGGGAGCAAGTCGGAGGGAAATATCCTGTGTAGTGCACTGGGGTTCTCTTTCAGGTCCTCCTCAGTCCGTTCCAGTAGAGGATAAAATGTGTGTGGGAAATTCACAGAGCAAAGTCAGCGAGATGGAGTTACTGCAGCCCTGCACAATCCCTTGTCCAGGTCTGCATCTCACAAAACACAAAGCTAAATAATTACACAGTGACTACTTAATGGTGACATTTATCTAAATGAAGGGTTAATTAGGGATAAGGACAGGGTTACTCGCATTTAATTAATCACATATGTCTTGAGGAGCTTTAGGCAACTGCTCATTGGCTGTAATTTCTGTCTCGCATGTCAGGAGAATGTCACCTAACCAAATGGTCACCATGGAGTTCGTGTCAGCTGCTGTGTTTGGATGGGCGGAGTTTTGAGACATGGGGCCGACAGGCTCGATCTAGAGCCATAGTCACGCAGGTCCCGGAGAACCAGGACACCTGTCCCAGCCAGATGTATGAGACACGACCATGCCGAGGTTTGTGGGAAGCCGTACAGGAGAAACACACCAAGCCGTCTGATTGAGTTTGAGTTTGATGCTGAAAATTGGTGTAATGGCTGCAAAAAAATTCAGCTTTGCCATCACAGGAATAAATTACTGTTAAATAATATATAAATTATTTAGAATAAAGGATTTAAAGGTATAATAAATTATTTTAAAATATCAAATAAATCAAATAATAAGTCAAATTTAAGGTTTAAAGTTGTTGTTGTTGTTGTTGTTTGTCATGAACATACTCCACTTATTCTCAACATTTTGATTGACAGATATTGCTAAAGTACCAGTCCTCCATGTTTAAAAGAACACTATATATATATATATATATATTTATATATATACACTGATCAAAATTATAAACGCAACACTTTTGTTTTTGCCCCCATTTTTCATGAGCTGAACTCAAAGATCTAAGACTTTTTCTGTGTACACAAAAGGCCTATTTCTCTCAAATATTGTTCACAAATCTGTCTAAATCTGTGTTAGTGAGCACTTCTCCTT